GATTGAGCAAATAGGCACGAGGGAAATTTTGGGGGTGATGCAAGTGTTCTAAAACTGTGGTGAAGATTGTACTATTGTATCAATTAACTAAAACTCAAACTATACACTTACAGTGGATGAATGTTATAGTATGTAAATTAGACCTTAAAATTTTTTTAAAAATATAGCCGAAACCGGTTTGGCTCAGTGGATAGAGCGTCGGCCTGTGGACTGAAAGGTCCCAGGTTCGATTCCGGTCAAGGGCATGTACCTGGGTTGCGGGCACACCCCCCGTGGGAGATGTGCAGAAGGCAGCTGATCGATGTTTCTCTCTCATCGATGTTTCTAACTCTCTATCTCTTTTCCTTCCTCTCTGTAAAAAATCAATAAAATATATTTTAAAAAAATTTTTTTTTTTAAATATATACTTTTTATTGATTTCAGAGAGGAAGGGAGAGGGAAAGATAGAAAGAAACATCAATGATGAGAAAGAATCACTGATCAGCTGCCTCCTGCAGGCCCCACACTGGTGATCGAGCCCGCAACCCGGGCATGTGCCCTTGACCGGAATCAAACCCGGGACCCTTCAGTCTGCAGCCCGATGCTCTATCCACTGAGCCAAACCGGCTAGGGCACACCTTCAAAAAAATTTAAAAAAAATAGACAAAAACCAAACATGTATTCTGAGATATATACATAGACGCTAATGCCACCTACAAAGAAAAGCAAGGAAATTCAGAATAGAGATTACACAGAATGGGGAAAGGAGGTTAATTCAACCAGAAGTAGCACGAAAGGAACATTTATGATACTAACAATGTTCTATTTTTTTCTGTAACAGATAAGTCTAACAGTTTAGAATATGGAGTTAGTAACAATGGTTTCTCTATTCTTTTATCTTCTAGTGTTTCAATTTTGATCCCGAGACTCTCCTCTCCACAGCTTCATCTCTTACCCGAATCTATACTGAGCACATCATCATCTTCGTCAGGAATCTCAATTATTTCTGTAGGCTGGGAAGCTTCGTCCTCAGAGCTACTGTCCCGGTACTGTAGTCCCAGTTTGGAGTAAAAGTCCTTCACCAAAGACTCACAATTAGTCACTGCCCTAATATTGGAACACATGTAGAAAAGGTCAAAGCCAGCAGGAGGTATAGGAGCCACTAGAATTTACATATATTTAAATACAAGCTGCCTTACATTTATAAACAGCTATATTCCAAGTGTCTCTGTTCAGAATTTAGAATGCTTTTCCCATAGAAAAATATTTAAATAGTGGTTTCCAGACTAGTTTCTTAAAAATCCAAAATAAGCTCAAAGTACAGTTCTTTCAACCATACCTCACTATTTACCTTGTTATTTGAAAATGCTTTCTACGTGACAACTAGGGCACCAGAAACAAATATCCTGGGGGTTTAGGAATAGATTCAGGGCTCTAGGAACTTATTCATGCTCCACGACTACATAAGACAGTAACTCTTCACATTCCTCACTCTCTAGACAATCCTACTAAGGAAACAAAGCAATTGCTCTGGTGTGCAAAAGGGGAAGGGACTCAAGACCTGGACACCCCTATTAATGATCACATATTAGGCTCTAATAAATAATATTCTATACATGGGTCGTTATGAGGGGACTGGATTCTAACTCTTGAGGAAGAGTAAGGTTCTACACATCTGTACCTTGTAAACTATAAAGTGCTTGACATAATGTCCGTCATGATGAATCAATCCCCCTTCTTCCCATATAGTCCTTACCTGGATGCATCATCAAAGAGCTGGTCGACATGGGCAACCTCAGTCTCCTTCTGTATTACCCACGTTTCCAACTCTGCTAGCTGCTTCCTGCGTTGCTGTATACAGTCCATCTTTTCTAGCTCTTTATCGATGAATTCCCGAAGTTCCTCCATGGAGATACCCAGCTCTTCAACCACTGCTTGCTGCAGCTCTGCAATCTCTTCAGACTCCATTGCAGCTGCTTCTGCATCCAAACCAAGGCACCCAGGGAGGGAGGACATGCTGTGGTCCTCTACATGGAACAAAAAACTGAAATTATCTTTGAAGTCATGATAACCACAACAGAGAATTTCAGGCCCCAAATAAAACTCATGCCTACTCCTTATTATTCAAATACAGCTAAATTTGATTCTATGTTCCCTCTCTCCATTCTCCAGTATAAGATACTGAGATTTTGTAGTTCTCATCTTATGCTATATAGACTATAGGCCTGAGTAAGATTTAAAGGTTTGAGAGGGCATATACTAATATTATGCAACAGGGGACTACGGGAAATAATGTTTTGGAAAACTGAAGAGAACCAATTTACTGAGGAAGACACAGGCACGCGGGCTGGGCTTCCAGAACACCGTAATAAAGCCAGTGTTGCAATAAAGTGAATGATAACCTTTTTGCTGGTAGAGGGTCTTTGCCTTCAGTTTGTAAAAAAACGTAATACCTGTGAGGTGCAATAAAGCAAAGCGCAATAAAAGGAGGCATGCTTGTATTTCTGAGACCTGTGTTCCTTAAAACTGACTAATTAAACATTTGCATGATATTGCCTAGTTTGAACAAATATCTCCACCCAGAGGGAAGGAGTTGATCTGTAATTCATTGCTTTCTGTATTTGTTCCCCTGACATTACGTTGCTTCCATGCGGTAATCTACTTTTTTAAAGGTCTATAATACTGAAGCACACAAGCGTGCGGCAAAGAGGTTTCTCCCAAGTAAAGGGAAATTAAGTGGGAATAAAACGTGGCTACCTAAAACGTAGTCCAATTGTAGCTGCTCTTTGCATCAAACGGCTTAAATAAAGCTGAAGCCAGAACGCCGTGCGACCCCCATGCCAGTTCCCATCACCTCCATTTTCCCTTTGCCCGCACCCCGCCCCACCCCCGGGCTACCCATTTTAGAGGTGCGCCTCCCCCCGCCCCCTCTACCCCGCCAGGCAAACCCCGCTAAACCCCGCCCCCGCTCGCCTCAAGGGGAAAACTTCCCACCGTCGCTCGACCTCCTCCCACAAACAAATCATTTCGGACAAGCCCTTGGTCTCCAAATACCTCAGTTAATTTCCCACACCTCCCTACTTTCAGCTGCGACAGCTTTTTTTCACCAACCAGACCCCAGACTCACGACTCAGGGGTCGGCCTCTGTGGGAGAGAACGCAAAGGGAAAAGGGAATAGGGGGAGGGGAAGAAACGTGATGGAGGGAAGGAAAAGCCTGAGAGACGCCCGGAAGCAAACCTCAGGTGCGGTTCCGGTTCCCAGGACGGTAGCCTGACAGGGTCAAACCCAAAACTGCAGGGTGCTCCTCGGAGGCTAGGAAAAAAAACACACAACTCAGGCAAGCACGCATGCGTCAATGCAAGCCTTCCAGGGCCCTCGGGAGAAGCCATTGGCCGGGTAAAGTGGGCGTGGCCTGGAAATATTACAGAAGCTCCGCCTCTTCCCCCCACTCTCAACTAGTGGCAGCAATGCTAAGCTTATTTTGTAAAGACTCAGTTGGCAGACACTTAGGTTTAGTTTTTTTTTTTCTCACTTTTACTTGAGTTTATTTAGTTACATAAGCCTTACAAATTGTAAGAAGTCGAGGAATAACAAGATGTAATAAGAAAAACATGATAATATTCTCCGCTCCCCCATCAGCACCCCTGCTCCTTCAAGGTAAAACAACTTAGTTTTCTAGGCTTGTACATACAAAGTCATGCATATGGATTTTTGGGGGGAGGGTGGGTTTGGACATCCCTCGAAGTCAATAAAAAGGGTAAAATTTGTCTTTTTGACAGTTGCATAATACTTCATAGTTTGGCTAAACCTTATTTGGAAATTTAGAACAGTTTCAGTTTTTAGCCACTACAATAGACATTAACATCCTTTTGAAGTAGTACTTTTATTTCTGTGGAAGAGATTTCTCAAAACGGAATTTTTTTTTGGGGGGGGTGAGTATTTTTTTTTTTTCATTTTAATAGAATCTACTGTCAAGTTATTTTTCAAAAAAGTTGAAACAATTTTTACTCCCACTAGAAAACCTCTGGAAGTATTTACTTTCCCACACCTTTATTAGGACTGGATGTTAACTATTTAACTTGAAAGAATTTAATGTGTTAAAATAGTATCTGTATCAGGATAGACTAGGTTATATTGTGGCAACAACTCCAAAAGCTTAAAACAAAATGTATAATTCTTGTTCATACCGCATAATCATCTCTAAAGAGTTGGCAGTGGATCTCACGATAGCTACTCAGGAACCCAGGCTAATGAGTAATCATGCCAGAGGGAGAGAAAGCTAGAGGGTCTCACAATGGCAATTAAAGTGACTCAGGACACTTTCAGTTACAACTCATTAGCCTGAATGAGTCATAAGGCCCTGCCCAGCCACAAGGGGCCAGGAAGACAAGGAGGGAGAATCAGGGTATTTAATGAATCAGCACTATTGACTACCATAGTATTTCATTATTACTTTAATTTGTTCAGCAGTCTTTACTAGTACACTAAGTGTGCCTGACTTCATTAAAAAAAATATAAACCACCACCTGCTATGTAAGACTGGAAACAGGGACCAAGCAGCCAGGATTATCAAAGTCCTAGAAATTCTCTCCCGCTGGCCACACTTTCATCTGTGCTCATTTCCCTTATCCACCAGTTTCCTGGGGCCATTCTAAGTGCCTATTTCCAATTGTTATGACATCTGGAATTGAAGTACAGCGAAGCGAGGGCTCCTCTAGATATTTGAAATTCAGCATCTTCAAAATGCATTTCATCATGGTATTATCTTCTAATCTGAGTTAAAAATTTTGGACATAAAATACCTATAAAACACACATTTACACACAAAATATTTGAGTATTTACTATATACCAGGCACTGTTCTAAGCACTTTATAGTTATTATTTAATTCTCACACTAATCCTGTGAGGTAGGAACTATTATCATCTCTTACTGGATGAGAAAACTGAGGCACAGAATTAAATTTCCCAAAGCCATAGAGCTAAAAGGTGTCAGAGCCAGGCAGTTAATCCTCACCTGAGAATATTTTTTCCATGGAGGTAGTGGAAGGGCGTGGGGGGGCAGGCAGGCGAGAGGCGGGGGGGAGAGAGAGAAACATCTATGTGAGAGACACATCTATTGATTGCCTTCCACACGTGCCCAAACAGGGGCCAGGGACAAACCTGTGACCGAGTTATTGTCTTTTCACTTGTAAGTTATATGTGCATAGTCCTGTCTCCTCTGTTGGGTTGTGATTAACTCAAGGCTGAGGTCCTGTCTTAACCACCTTTTTCCCCCTGGAACCTGACATATTGCCCTGTACATGTGGTGCTCTGTAATGTGTGATAATAAAGGGAAATCTTTGCTCTGCCCTGATTATGTTTCTATTAGTTACTTTCAGCTCCCTGATGTGTGTGTGGGTGGTTTGGGGGTGGAAATGGGGAATGTTGAAGAGAAATAGGAGCTCTTTGGGGCATCATATTACAGTCTGATTTCTTCATTGTCCTGAGAAGGCTGAAGTGATCAGACTGGCAGAAATCAGCAGTGGGACTCAGGAAGTGTCTTCTAAGACCTTACTACTCAACGTGCAATCAGGGAACTTGTTAAAGATTCTAAATCTCTCTCTGGGCCATTAAGTGTGTACTGAGTAAGAATCTGATCTTTAATAAGACCTCCAGGTAATTCATTTGCTCGCTGTAGGAAAAGCAGGTTTGAGCTGTGTAATCCTGTCTGGGACAGGGCCTTGATATTTAGGGAGCCAAGCTCTGGCTTCGTTTTTGTTAGGTTCTGAAGACTATACACCAGGCACTGTTATAATAGGGCCAGAGATTCAGGCCCTATTATAAATGGCTCACATTATTTAAAATTGAAAAATTCTGAAGGTAAACAGTTCATTGCCAGTTTAATAATATCATATAATAAATATGGAATGCTCATGTTGGGTGTGCTCAGCACATTCATTTCTATAATACACTGTGATACATTGAAAATCACAACCACATGCTACTTAATACTTGAACATGAGATGTTATAGCACAGGGCCAAACCCTTGGAATGCCAAATGATCCTTTCCCTGCAGACAGACTT